TGTTAACAATGGTTTTTCTGACCTAAGGTTAACCGTAAAACTAAATCAATTTGTCCAATTGAAAAAGTTATAAAATCATTCAAAGATAAAACTTGATTAATAAAATAAGTGCTTATGTTATTCACATGGAAATAATATCAATGCAATAGCAATTCATGGACACCCCTAGCATTGGGGAGTTTAGCCTCTCATAATAATAAAAGTAAATTGAACAATTAGATTTAACATTACAAGAATATTTGGGGGTTACTTCGATCTTCAATTGCTCCTGCCAGTGAAAACCTTTCGTTCTCTCTTTGTTCTTGGTCGCTCAATCTTTCTCGTCAAATTCTTCTCTTGTCCAAAAGTTCAAAAGTCTCTTTTTTCTTTGTCTAAATGTGTCTTAAATACTAACAGATCCCATATAGAAGTAAGGAAATTCCGAAAATACCCTCAGGGGTCAAAACAGTTAAATATGATAGGAAATTGGGGGATGACACGCCCAAGCCAACACGGGTTGTGTCAGCTGACACGGGCAACCGTGTTGGCTCCCTGTTCCATAAATTAAATGAATAATTATGCCAGACTTACTGACATGGGTCGTGTCAGCTGACACAGGCACCCGTGTCAGCCCCCTTCTTTCTCCTCAAACACGCCCTCATAGATCCTCTCCTGACACGGCCTGTATCAGGTGACACGGGTGGTCGTGTCAGGCCACTGAAATGCTTGAAAAACTGCTTCAAATTTTCCTGAATCTCTTATTTCTTCGCATGAGTTCTTTGGCTTTCTCCATATGGACCTGAAACCATCAAGACCACTACCAAATGCGTCAAATGCACCAAATATAACATAATCACTAGAAAAACTTACGATCCGAGAAAAACATAAAGATAGTAAATATTATTCAAAAAAACAAAAAAAGCGACTAACCTAAACATTACCAGTTCGTGGATAAGATGTCGAATAAGTGTGAGAAACAACATAGAAATTGTGACTGATCTTATTGGCCAATCAAATGGCCTCTATACCTAATCAATTGGTTTAGTGGAAAAAATGAACTAATCGGTTAGGACAATGCATTAATCAATGGTGTATATATATATATATATATATATATATATATATATATATATATATATATATATATATATATATATATATATATATATATATATATATATATATATATATATATATATATATATATATATATATATATATATATATATATATATATATATATATATATATATATATATATATATATATATATATATATATATATATATATATATATATATATATATATATATATATATATATATATATGTGTGTGTGTGTGTGTGTGTGTGTGTGTGTGTGTGTTTGTGTGTGTGTGTGCATTTCCTTTTAAAACCTTCAAAATGATTATTTTTATGTCTATCAATATATTGGTGCATTATGTCAATTGATTGACACATTAATTTTGGCTCAAGAAATGTTTCTTTTTCGTTCCACCCTCTCTAGCCTATAAATAAGACCCCTCCTTCATATTTTCACATCTAGAATCGTAACCTCTTATATGTCACTACTCACTATCTCTCTAAAAATATTTTCTCACCTTTTCTCACTTAGAAATTTAGTTGCAGTGCTTTTCAGAAAGGTCAATTGTGAGTGATGCATTTGTGTAATTCTAGAAGGGTAGAATTGTAAATTCACCAAGGAACATTTTTTTTAACCTTGGTTGAGTAATATTTCAATCTAGGGATTGTATATTTGGGTTCTAATTTTAACCCGTTAAAATCTTTGATTTAGGGAATTAGTTAATAAGTCATCGTTTCAGTTTGAAAGCTTAACCTGTATTAAAAGCTTTAATAGGTTTGAGATTAGCCAGATATAAAATCTCACAATGGTTTACGCTCATCCTAATAAAACCTCAAGTTCGATTTGTAAGCTCGTCTTGGTTAAAAACTTGTTATGGGTGGATATCATCCTGGTATAAAATATCCTAGATTTGAGGTCAGCTTGTAAAGTCCGTGGTTTGGTTCGAGTTCAGTCTGTATTAAAAGCTCACGAAGGTTCGACATCTCACTACTAGAAAACTTCATTTTAGCTGCGAATTTAGCCTCGGCCACCGACACCGAGGCTAACTAGCCTTGACAAAACCGAGGCTATTGAAACGCAACAAAAGTCATTTTAAAGTTTTTCTTTTACAATTATTTTTATTTAATTCATTAGACACGGCTAGACCGAGGCTAGATTTTTTTTAAATATTAGACACGGTCGTTCCGAGGCTAACTATTTTAAGTTGTGAACTTAGCCTCGGCCACAGACACCGAGGCTAACTAGCCTTGACAAATCGGAGGCTATTTAAACGCAATAAACCCCATTTTAAAGTTTTTCTATTTTTTTTTAAAATATTAGACACGGACGAGCCGAGGCTAACGTTTTTAATATTTTTCGAATATATTTATTTTATCAGATAGACACGGTTCAGCCGAGGCTAACGTTTTTTATTTTTTTATTTTATTTGGTAGACACGGATGAGCCGAGGCTAAATATTTCCCACTTTGTTTTTCATGTTTCCCTCTTAATTCCTTTTAGAGAACCCTAAAATTAAACCAAATACATTTTCAGAAGAAAAAAACCCCTAAAATCAATGTAGTGAGTTTCATCTCTTCGTTTTCATCTTCTGCTTTTTTTCAATGTAGTGAAGGAAGTTTAGAAGATAGAGCTGCAAGTGCTTCCAAGAGTCATAGTCAAGCAGAGAAAAGACGCAGAGATAAAATCAATTTGTTTGTGTTATTTTCCGTTTTAAGGTTAGATTTTGTTATTTGCCATTCTAATTCCAACCCTAACTGAGATTTAGGTTTAATGATTATGATGTTTTGCATTCAACTCATCCCCTGCTTTTGTCTGTGTTGCTGTTAGGTTTAATGATTCACACTCTAATTTTTATTTAAGATTTTATATGCACTGTTATGTTAAATGTGGTTGAACGTTAGGGATTCCATTGTTGCTCACTTGGTTTATGTGGTTGAACTCGGTTCTGTTAGTATGGTAATTGACATTCTATTGTGAAGGGGAAAATGTTAGTGTGTAAAAAACTCTTGTTAGGTGATAGCTAATTCAAAGTTCATAACACTTATAACAGACAACAACCAATAAAAGTAGTTAAGCTTGTCTCTATTCAAGTTATTACTTTCCAACCACCCTCCACTCACTCTGTTCACAACCTCAACAACCTCAGTGCTTATAAAATAACCAAACGCAAAAGAACACCAAGAAATAGTTGTACTAAGTGATTTCATTCCAGCTGAACTTTCTGCGTAGAAAAACTCTAAAAGTCCAATAAGTGTAAACATATCTGCAGCACCGAAAATAGCGTATTGAAAACCCAACCAAAACACTGTCATTGGTAAAGGCTCATTGCTGTCTACCATGTTGTGTTCTACTGCTACGGATTTTCGGCGTGTTCCGATGAAACCGACTATTAACATTGTTATGTTGTTCTTCATATTGTTGTTTAAGTAATGTGGGAGCTGTTTTTAGATTTGAGTTGGTGATTCTTTTTGTATGTGCTTTGTTTTTTTGTGAAAGTATTGTTGAAAATCCATGTTGTATGTGCTGTGTAGAGTGTGAGTTGATGAGTAAACTTGTTAGCAGTTTCTATTTAAGTTTGGATGAATCTTGTGATGTCAGACCTCAGTTTGAATCCCTAAAATCTTTCTCTGATTAAATTGTGAACAAGTTTGAGTCATTTGGATGTTACATCATAACTGTTTTCTTTTCAACACCATTTCCAGCTTTTGATCAACAACTGCAGCCTACATAGCAGTTTCTGTTTTGTTGTGTTTTAGAGTTCTTTTTTAGTTGAGAATCCATAAAAAACATGTTTAGAGTTTGTGCAAACTGATCTCATGATGTAAGCCTAACCTTCATTTGGTGCCATTAACTGTTGTTTTAAAGCATAGCATGCCTGCCCTTGCCACAATTACTTCTTTGGTTATACTTGAATTCTGCCTTGAGTTGATGCTTAGCATCATAGGTCTTTACTTCTTGTCAAGAACTCTCTTATTATTAATCTTTAGCTGCCAGTTTTCCACAATACATTGGTGTTTTGGACTTCTGTTGGATTGATCTACATGGTGGCTGTGAGAATCAACATAATCTTGTGTGCAGAATTTATTTTGAGGCTTGAGTTTGTTCAACTCATCAATTGCTGTTAGACTGTCATTAGGATACATGTGAGTAGGTTTTGTTGCTTTTATGGAAGTGCTGGATATGATGTTGCAATGTTTGGTGCACTAAGGATTAACCTTGTCATGTTAGTCTATAAGAGGATTTAGTGCTAAGTTGTATTTTTGGATTCTGTGGCAACAACTTTGAGAGTGCCTTTGCAGCCTCACTCCTTTTTTGGATTTTGTTGTGTTGACAATTTGGACCATGTCTCTATATGTTGGATTCATGTTATGATATGTTTGAATGAGTATTATTTGAAGTTTAGATAGTGTTGGTTCTGTCACAACCAGTCTTGCACTTTCAGTCCCAAATTCCCTTAGCAACTCACACACCATTTTCACTTCCAGCATAATTTTGATGCAACTTTGCATTTGAATTTTATCTATAACATGTTTTGAATGCGTGCACATCATCTATTGGATCCATCACAAACTGCTTGTTCATAAGAGCACCATTTGCAAGTCATGAACCTTTGTTGCTACTCATGTGTGTTGTGTTGATTTAGTGTGAATTTGGACCTGCCTACTATCAGGAATCATTTATCAACATATTTGAAACATGTTCATGCTTTTCTTTGAACCTGATAACATCTGCATTAATCCATGAATCTCAAAATGCATTTTAAAACTCATCCTTGCATTGATATTGCTGAGAGAACTAGTCCGATTCCGATTCTTTGAAGGTGTCGAATTTCAGTTGGTATCCCTGTGAATCTTCGGATAAATGGGACGAAGAATCGGTCGTATAGAGGGATTAGGACAAACATGAATAATAGAGGGATGATTGGGAGAGAAGTCCAATTAAACAATAACATTTTGAATCATATAGAAAAAGTAAAATACAATAATAGTAACTTTATTCACCTGTATGATTCTTATTAGAGGACTTCCCTTAGGAGTATTATTTCTATATAATGACTTTCCCATACAAATAAACAGAATTGAGAACAAGACTGCAATAGTGCAGACAATAAAACTCCAATACCATCCTTGATTAGTACTAATCCAAACAATGACAGTAACACCAACTATTGCTCCTGTTGTAAGACTAAACAAGAACCAGTTAAAAAAACTCGACAATTGAGATGCTTCCTTTGGATCTTTATCATCAAATTGATCAGCTCCTAAGGCTGGTAACACCGCTTTAATACCACTTGTTCCTAATGCAACAAGGTATAATCCTGTATAGAGTATAGCAACTTGACTTCCAACAACAGGCTTGCATTGGTTCATATGAATTGGTGCTATATCTTTGCAGGGTATCGGTCTTAATTGTTGGAAACGCGCTTGAACTGTTAGGATACCATATCCAGAAATGTGTAGAGATATGCGTTGATGGTATGCGGCAATCACCACAAAACCAAGGGGTCATGTGATGATTGATAACATAGAGGATGAAATGCAATATCAGTCTGATGGGATTTTACCTGTTCTACCCACTATTGAAATTGAATCAATATCTTATTTGCGTGATGACACACAAGTAGATGTGTTTGAAGAGATTTTTGATACATAGTGAAGCAACGATAGGATATTGATTGAAGATGCACAACTATGTTATGGTTTATTATGTGTATTTTGTATTCCAATATCTTGATGAATATGATATTATCATTTCTCTTTTTCCTAAGTGTTACTGCTCTAAATTTATCTTTGTAATCACAGTTTTGACTGTTATGAGATTTCCAACTTTTCTTCCTTGTTCACATGCTTTGATTGTTAGCTACGTTTGGTCGTGATAAGAGATTCAGAGTTAAACTTTGTGGTATATTTAAGTTGTTGGTGATTCTTATGTGTATTGAAGTTATGAAATCTGCATGTTTTGGTTTGGAGTGTCGTGAGCGTGCGGTTCACATTGTTTTTATTCATGTTATAAGTTTATGACCACCTCTTCGTAAATAACTTGCAAGCTATATGAAGTCTTGGTATGCTGAAATTTGTGCAGACTGCTTGTAGCTTTGTGTGGAATTTGTTAGCATAGAGATAATTAGCGTACGGTCGAGATTCAGAAGTCTTAGCGTTATCTGTATAGTTATGTTACTGTTGTCTGTTATGATTGATCTGCACTTTGTATGTTGCCCTGCTTTTGGATTTCAAGTTCTGTTCCATCATGTTAACAAATGTGTTTTTGGTTTTACAGAAGTTGTTGTGAGCCCCCCTTATGTGTTCCTTACCTTCGTGAAAAGTTTACTTCGCTCTGACTTCCATGTTGCTACTCAAAACAGTTGGGTTCGCAAAGGTGGTGCTTATACTGAGTTTCAAGACAACGACAGAAACATCTCAATTCATTTCGTTTCTCATGAACTCGGCTGTGGTCCTCATTATTCAATAACACAGACAAATCTTCGGTCTCTGCGGCAGCTCGGTTTGAAGCCATTAACTTGGAATGTATAGCAGCAATGTTAAGCCACATCAGAGGCTTTAGATTTCAACTCATAACAACTTAGGACAACTGCAGTCGACAACCAACTCGGTGCAGATTACAAAAAAGTCATTTTTCGCCTTCGGTTGGTTTTATTTGCTTTCTTTTATGCTTCTGTTTCAATGTTGTTGCTGACGCTTTTGTTTATTTGATTATGATGTCGATTATTATTGTTTATGCTGGCTGTTTTGAGGTTGTATATACGTGAATCACACACTGTGGTAACATTAGCTATTAATTTAAGATCAATTTTGGTTGTTTGTTAATGTTCCTGGTTTATGATTTGGGCTATGATTAATGATATCTCACCTACTGTTTTAAGATAATTTTGCAAAGTAATAATACTCAGTTTTAGAACTTTTTTTTATGAGATTTTTGTGGTTAATTAGCATAGCATTTTTCGATTTAATTACGATTACACGTGTGCTGGGTTGGAGGTTCCAGTCAAATGTATGTTGTTGTTGTTGTTTTTTTTAAGCTTCTGTCATTATACTCAAACTCTCGATTTTGATTTTTTTTCCTGTTATAGTAAGCTATGATTGGATTTTTCTCGTATAAGTATGTTACGATACATGTGGGTTGTATCTCAATTCAATATAAAATGGAACTCAATCAATGTGAATCTATAGTGTGTATTTTTTTGTAACATGAATCTCATCTTGTACCAGAATTTGCTTGAGGTTTCGGTTTGAGTTTTTGGTATGGAAATTCTGTTTCTTTCTGCAGTATCTTCATCGGTATATTAGCACCATGAGGCCTATACATGACCGATACGCTGTGCTATTTACGGTTGCAATTGTGTGGCTATTTGCACAGCTTTTAACTGCTTCCACTGCATATAACCACAAGTTAGCAAGCACACAGAATAGCTGTCGCACTGATCGTGCTGGACTCGTTACTTCCGCTAAATGGTAAGAATAATTCCAAGCTGGTTTCTTCAATTAGTTCTGATCATTTACATAACATGGCTAAGCAAATTGTTGCAGGGTGTATCTTCCTTACCCTTTTCAATGGGGGCCTCCTACATTCAATGTTCTGGAAGCATTTCCTATGATGGCTGCTTCTATAGTTTCTCTTTTTGAGGTATCCACTAATTCCTTAGCACACAAGTAATAAGAATCTCGTGCCACTCGTCATTGCAATTTCTCCTGTTAATCACTGGTTTGAAATTTGTTTTACTTACAGTTTTCTGGTACATCCTATGCTGCTGCAAGATATGGAAGTGCCACCTTCTATTGTCAGCCGCAGTGCTGGTTGGGTGGTAGGATTCAATATCTTTCAATTCTCTTTTACATAAAATGAAACTGTGATATGTAATTTTACTCATGTCATTGTTATTTTGATTTTAGGGAGTATGTGCTTTTCTCAGTGCCATATTTGGCTGTGTAACCGGAACTTCTGCATCCGCGTGAGTTTATCCTAATTTCTTATGTGTTTGTTTATCTTGAATGCTTGATATAGATTTGTTAACTTGATGACTTAAAGAACATTCCTTACAAGTGTGTCAATATTGTGTGTCATTTCTCTCCTCTTGCAAGTGATGAAATGGTTTTGGAAGAAGGGGATATTTTGAAAATGTAAGACTCCTTTGATCCATTTTCTTGGAAGGATGTATATTGCTTTGGTTTGTGCTGTTGTTAGGAGATATATAGTAATGGCATCTTTGATTTTTTTGCAGTGATTTGGCGTGTCATATTGAAGGGTTTATTGTTGTTGTGGCTCACACACATGTTCTTCAAGAGGGGCCTGTTATAGGACGTGCAACTGATGTAATTGCTGCAGCAAATACTGCTGCTGAAGTGGCATTGAGGCTTGTTAGGCCTGGAAAGAAGGTAATATAATGTGTAAGGCTTGTTATGACCCTGAAAAGGTAAGGGTTGCTTGAGCTTCATGAATTAATTTGCGAATAGTTCTTTGTCTCAGAATATTAAGAATAACACCTACTAATGTATGCAGAGGATCACGGCTGAAGCCGCTCTCAATCATGAATGGTTTCGTGAAGTTCCTCTTCCCAAAAGCAAAGAATTCATGCCTACATTTCCCGCACAACATGCTCAGGACAGGTATTTGATCTGTTGGAATGTGGTTATTTTAGTGAACTGGTAATTTAAATTGAATTTATATGACCATTGTATGAATGGATGCATTGTCATGTGTGAATCCTAATTGTGGATATATATATATATGTATTGGTTTATGTTGAATGGTTTTTTTGCCTTGTTGCTGCATGTTTAATTTAGTTGGAGCATTCTGCAGCAGTATGGGACTTTAGAGCAGCAACTGAAATTACAAAGGATCATAATGGAATAGGTCAAGTTGTGCTTCGGACTCCACAAGGCGCTTCGGAGTTTGATTGCTAAATGTTGGTACAATTTGACTTTAGCCTCGGTTAGGCCAAAGTTAAATATTTTGTTGACTTATAAAGTTTGAACTTAGCCTCGAAAAAGTCGAGGAAAAATGTTCCTTTAGCCTCGACCAGGACCAAGGCTAAATATTATGTGAGCTTATGGAGTTTGACTTTAGCCTCGGTCAGGCCCAGGCTATTTTTTGTTTTTTGACACGGCTTCACCGAGGCTAAAGTAGACACGGCTAAACCGAGGCTAAATTAGACACGGCTAGACCGAGGCTACTAGAGACACGACACTTTTTGGCCGAGGCTAAATGTTAGCTTCGATCGTTTTAGCCTATCCCCGACACCGACGCTACGCCGAGGCTAATTGGCTAGTAGCGTCGGTTTTTTGCCTTATAGTGTCGGAAAATGGCCGAGGCTAAATACAACATTTCTAGTAGTGTCTACCTGTGTAAATATTATTTTAAAGCTTGAAGACTAACTACTTTAAGTTGTTGTTTGGGATGAAGACTAACTAGTTCAATCTGTCGTTTGGAAGGATGACTCACCATTTCTCTCCTTGTTCTCTACTTGGTTGGAAGTCATCCAAAAACGTCACTTTTCTTGTATAAGGGGGTTCGAGAGTTCAAACTACTAAAAGCTCTTAAGTTTATTAGATACTCTCAAGATCAAATATTGGAGACAAGACTAATTCTTTGATAGGCCTTAAATGTATTATGTTTTTAGCTTGTTTTTACTTTGATTTCATGTGTGTTTTAATCAGTCCTCTTCAATTTTATGCAGGTTTGCTTCCCTTTTGTGTTATCATATAATAAGAGGTCAATGGAGCAAATCGAGACGAAAAATGCCAAAGATCACATAAAAATGTGCATTTATGATACAAACATTCTGAGACCAGCATGGTCTTGTCATGTCCCATGACACGGGTCGTGTTGGCCTCTTTGAAGGCCCGTCATACAAGCAACCTGAGGCTGACACGAACATCTTGTGTCCCCTGCATGGCCTGTCTCAACACCTAAGGCATTTATGAATTCTTGACTTCTTGGCTAATTTTGTGACCTTTTGGCATCTATAACCTCTATTTCTTTTATGATTAGTGTTAAGTAGAAATTATGCTCGAAATAAGTGTAAATTGTTGGTGATTTATGGCCTAGTTTAGTATAAATAGAGGCCCAGGGCTTGAGAGGTTGAGGAGACACCTAAGTGTGATACTTAGGGAGGATCCATCACTTTCTACTAAAATCATTGTAATCACTTATTATTTTCTTAAGTTTTAAGCTCGGTTACATTGTAACTTTAAGAATTTTCATACTTTTATTATATTCTTGCTTTCATCCTCTCATTATTTTGTAATTTATTTTATTTATCTTCAAGCCTTTACTTTTCATGCAATGTTTCTATTATCTATTATTATTGTTGTTATCTTACTATGATTGAGTAGAGTTTTGGGGAAAGGGGTTA